ATACCATGACAGAAAATATATAGGCGGATATAAACTTCATCTTGCATTTCACAGCTCTCAAAGGAGCTATACATACACATATACAACATGTTAGGGTTTTCGGAAGAAACCCTAGAACGTACACAATGACGAAACATACATATAAGTACATATATATCGTAACACTTAAAATCACTTGCTTAGCAGATTGGGTTATCGTCTCCTCCTCTTCCTCCTCCTCATGGGTTTGTACTGCTATTTTCTCTCCTGAATAAAATTAACCAAACAAAAGGAACTGAATCAAGCTTTTGTGGATGTACGCAACCAAATAAAGAGCTCGTATTGAAACAATGAAGATGATACATCAAAATAATAATAATAATAATAATAATAATAATAATAATAATAATAATAAAACAATATAACAATATCATTTAAGAAAGAAACAACAATCTATCAATTGAAATTGCTCTTTTTGTAACAAGCTAGATTCAAATCAAAATCCAAACAGAGTACCCTAAGTCGGAAATCAAACAAGTTATACAGACACGGGATATGAACAAACTTGGAACTTCAAAATAAATAATGATAGGTTAGCATCCTCTAAATCATGAATTCATCTCAAAACCTACTAGAGGAAGACTATAACCCACCAAAATATATCCATAAACACCAACACTTTACCCTTACCTATTACAACCATTTTGGTAGAAACAAAACTCGCAACCTCGTGGGTAAGCCTCAAAGGTCAAAACACATGAGCGCACAACTTTATTTCATCCCAAAAACATAGTCTAAACAATAACAACTATGCCAAAAGATTAAAGGCGTCTAACTGGCCACAACTCCTTATAGCAACCCGCTAATGAGATAATTAGCCTACTGATTCCAAGTACCTAATAAATTATAAGAGGCAAGTCTATCGAATAAAATGAAATAAAAATATAGAAAAATAACACAGAGGTACAATTGAAAAATTACACCTATGCAGTAGTTTTCTATCTTCACAGAGTGAATTTTTCCTTCCAGTTGCATTCCACACTACTTATTCGCCTGTTGATTTGCACTGACTAAAGATCACAGCATTCTTGTTATTATCAACAACCAATCATAGTCCGATCTGGAGATAAACATCAAGAATCAACCACGAAAAACACACCATCCTAACACAAAATTCAAAAAAAAAAGAAGAAGAAAATCAAAAATTAAAAAACTTGTCCCGGTGCCTTTGATTCTTTATTTTATTTCAAATAGGAAATTAAAATTTCTCGTGATTTTTTGGGTTGGTAACTGAGAGTGGCAATAGAATTAACTTACAAGGAAATTTGGGGATTTGATGAGTTAAAAGGGGATTATGAGATCAATTGGCATTTGTATTTATTTGTGCCGAAAAAATCACCTAAACTCGTGGAAAGAAAAGGGTAAAAATCTCTCAAACTTAAAATATTCATGAACGAATGTGGATGAGTTCGAAAAAAAACCTCGGACTAGGAATCGAGGACTTATGATTTACTTTGGTTTGTAAAAATAAAAGAAAAAAGAAAGAAGCGAAACAAGGCAAGCGGCCTGATTTATATATAAAAAAGAGTAGAAAAAGACCTATCACCGAGAACTCCCGATCGATGACACGCTATTACAACGACTCAGATATTAGCACCGACTAGACGTAGTCGATGACACGTTATGACACGGACCAGAGACACTAGCACCGACACAGAAGTCTATATCGATGACACGCTATTACAGAGATATGGAATTCAATGAAGTAGAATGCATGAATGACTACCTATAGAATTTCTATGAAGGAAAAACAGGTAAACACCTATAGTGCTAGGGCTTACATCGGAGAAGACATAATAAAAGACTTGAATGAAAAGGACTGAAAAGATAAAGAAGTTATATCGAAAAGGACATAATGAACGGAACAGAACTGAAAAGAAAGAAAAGAAAAAAAAAGATAAAAGAGGCGTCGGAGGCCTTGTGTTTTTGTTGATGTGATCGTGGGATCATTCTGATGTTAAGCGGCTACCTTCTTATATAAAGAAGATTAGGGCGCAGCTTTCTTGGAGAGAAAGGTAGGTCGGTCACTTCTTGATTCCTTGGAGGAAAAGACTTTAATCCGGAGTAGACTTCTTGTCACCTTCCCATATTAAATCAAATCGACTGTGAATGGAATTAGCAATCAAATAAAATACAACATCCCATAATTAACTATGTCGGCGGTTGATTCGATTCACACTCACGGGTTCCTTCAACTTCCGACTTGGACGACTTCCGACTTCCGAAACTTCTTATTTACGGGCCGGTTCAAATCACTTGTTGGGCCGACACCATTGACAAAATTGGAGTCAACAGTATCATTTAAGCAATCTGCTTAGTAAGGATATCCGAGGAGTTTGGGAAATTTGATGATTTAAAAGTGTCTTTTTTGGGATTTGTATCATTTGTTTTTTAACTAGATTTGAACGGCACAGAGATGGAGTTTTTTTTTTTCCCTTAAATTTGAACGATGAAGGTGGTGGTGAAATTATTTTGGGAGGTTCTTGTTGTTGGTTTGTTTTCTCCTATTATTATCATCATTGTTTCTTGAGATATCAACTTTGGGAAGGATGAGGTGGTGTTGCGGTGGTATTTTTTCAGGGGAAAAGGTTGGCACGGCTGTGGTGGTTGCACGTTTTATTTTCTCTTCGACTTGAACAAAAGCGAGAATTTGAGTACTATGTAACTACAACCACATTTCCTCTATCAACAAACAAACTTTGTACAATCAACTTAAGTCGATTTCCCGTGACCCAATAATACTTTTGTTTGACTCGGGTCACTAAACACAATAAGACCGAAAGACACGGAGATTGGCGAGACAAGCTACCTTTAGCTAGGAGTCTCTTTTTCTTCTGCTTACCTCGATATTCTTTTTAAAATTTAGTTTTGTTATAGGGTACCAAAGAAATTAGATGTAATTCTACTATTGTAGATTGAAACTTTTATAAGATAAAATGCCAGGAATTATAGCTGCAGAGAGTGATTGCTTTTCACTGTTAACAATATTTGGACGAAAAAGTGAAAAGATCAATATTTAGACATAAAAAAGTGAAAAGATGTAAACTTTCAACTTATATGAGACTTAAATTAGTATTTTTTTTATATAACTTAACTAGTGTGTGTCCCGCGCTTTGCGCGGCTTTGTCAATATTGAAAATTCATATTTCAAAAGAATTGATTAGATAATACAGTTACAAATATACCATCCTTATTCTCTTAAAAAAAATATAGTTACTAATATTTCTTAAAACTGTAATATTTTTTTGATTAATCAGTTTAGATCAAAATGAGAGGTATTGATATTATTTATGAGACGTATATTTGTAAGATCTGGTAAAAAATACTAAAACAAAGATTTTCAAAAGTTGTATAATAAAAATTGTCACCACAAACTAATGTTATGTTTGGTTTAAAAAATATATTTAAAAAATGCATAAATTATGTCTAGATGCATATGGCCTATTTTTATAGGCAAGTGGAGTTTGGGGATTAGATGTAATTTTAATAAAATATGAGACACAATTAATCGTCCTTGAAAATATAAAATCGATAAACTTGAAAACTAAATAGCACACAAATGAAACTTTAAGGGCCAAAATGACAATAGGTGAAAGTTTAAACTCGTAAATAAAAGGACTTTTGAAGTCGGGAGTTTCTCAGCAATTTTTAAAAATATTCATTTTCAAACTCACAATCAGAAATTTGTAATATCTGTATAAATCTTATATACTCCCTCCATCCCACAAAAAAAATGTTTACAACTTTTTTAATTTGGTCAACACGTAAAATGTACAACTCATTTCATTCTCCTAACTTCCACTAATGCCCCTTCTAGTTATTTCTATAAAAGTTAACTACATATGCATTTATTTTACAACTTAAATTTGATCAAGATTTTTATCTAAAAAAATAGTGACAATGGATCTTGATGGAAAGATCTTGTTACGTAGATTAATTTGATACATAACATATTTTTTTAATTATTCATGTATTAAAAGATATAATCATTTGAAAAAATAAGAAAAAACTAAAAAAAAATAAAAATCAAAGGAAGTGGACCTTGTTTTTCATACCACTACTCTTTTGGATATTTAAGTCATTTCAATTCAATGAATTTTGACTTTTGTTAAACTGGACTATTTTTTTAAGACAAGATTTTTTATTAAATTGGATTATTTTTGTGGGACGGAGAGAGTAGTAAATAATTTATTAATTGTTTACAAAAAATTTTAACTGACTAATGATCAACCAATTAGCAAATGACACGTGTTAATTGAGACTTGATGGTATCAATGAGCGACACGTGTCGATAATCTTTCTTTTCTTTAATATATACAACTAGATGCTTGCCCCGGGCATCCTCCCACCTAATAAATTAATATGTAAATAATTAAAACTGATTAGAAATGAATAAATACCCGGGGGCGTCTTCCCACCTAATAAATTAATATGTATATAATCAAATCTGATTAGGATTGAATTTAGTTTTTGATGAAGATAATTGATTGATCGAAAGTTAATTTTTCAAAAATCCTAAAAAAGTGGAGAAAGAAAGTTCCATTCACCGCCAAATTCAAAATTTGAATGAACATGGACATCTGATCTCTTTGTTAATATTGTAAATATGTTTTTTGTTTTTAAAAGAGGGTGACACGTGGCAGAATGGTTTACGCAATATGGTGCATTTGGAGCCAAAACGTTTTAATAAGAAATTGCCACATCAGCATCCTGTTTTCTGCTTTAATAGGGTAATAATAATAATAATAATAATAATAATAAATAAATATATAAAAGGGATGATGAGAGAACATTTGACTTTCCTTCCGAAAAATATCAATGTGCATGTACTTGACCTGCCAGTCAAGGGGTCTCTTTAATATGTTTCCGAAAAATGGGGATATTTTAGATATTTGATTAAGCCTTGGGGAGGTAATTCAAATTGATATTGACCCTAACAGTAAAACCAAATCCAGTTATGCAACAGAAATAGGGATTTCTAAAAGATAGAGGCTGAGACTCCTATAAATACAACAGAGGGGCTCACGGTTCCGTTCCGTTCCGTAAATTTATCTTCTCCTTCCTCATCTTTGCGAGCTGACTTATTAAAAAGAAGAAAGAAAAAAAAGAAAAAAAGAAAAGAAGAGACAGATCTGACGTAGAGCTCCAGATCTACTCCTTCCTCGCTCTTTGCTAGCACAGCGGCCACCCATAAGTAAGTAGCAATTCTCAATTTTAAGGATTAAAGGTTATTCTTAATGCTACCAATTGGTTACCAAGATCGAATTTTTATTTGTATACTTGTATTGTTTTTCCCTAATTTTTATGTGATGCATAGATTCTTCTTATATGTGATGTTCCTGGAGACTCTGTTAATATGTTATGTTTAAATAACGTTAGATTTTGTAAGAACTTCAGATAATGTACAGTTGGTCACCCTGAGGTTTCCTTCCGAGGTGCGCACCATTCTTTCACAGAATGGAGCTCTTTGGGTTGTGTTTGTTTTGTTTTGGCCCACTCCTTCCATGATTAATCGCTCGTTCTCTCTCTCTCCCTCTTAATTTGTATACTTGTTCATGCTCTTTTGATATTGTAGAAATAATTCGTATTCACATAAGATGTTCAAATACGCCTAGTTGTTGCAAGACATTGTACCTGCTCTGAATAAATATATAAAATCTATTAGCAAAGGTTTCTTTCCAAGGTCCTCGAATATATGGGAGAATGTGGCTTTTGGTCAAACTTTGGTTTGTGTGTGTGTGTGTTTTCCCTTCCCTGGTGGGGGTACTTTTTCATGTTTCATTGTTTTGAAAATTTCGAAGGAAGTCTAACAATTAGCCATATTTATAATTATTGAAGGATCTTCGTGATGGCCAAAGGGGTGACATTCGATTTTCAGCCCGAAAAGGTAAATCATATTGCATGTATCTTTGATTATCTTTAATGGTACTATTACAGACTACTACTACAACTAAATCAGTTGGCAAATCACAATGGTGTTTACTTTTTCTACTCTTTCTTCCTCCTTTGAATAGTGTGTAACAAACGAGCAGCAAGTTGACCGGATTAGCCAGCTTCCAAATGAAATTCTTGTTGATATCCTTTCTTTGCTGACGCTTGAAGATGCTGCCAAGACTAGTGTTTTGTCAAAACGTTGGATAGATCTTTGGCTGAATGTGGATAAACTCGATTTTGACTCTAAAAAACTGTGGAAAGGTTTGGAAGATGAGGATGCGCCAGACTACCTAAGATTTTATGCGAGTAATTCTCGTAAGTATGTTGAATGGGTTAACAAGGTGGTGCAATCGCACAAGGCTACAACTTTGGATGCATTCAGAATTCGCTTTGATCTTACTAGTTCCTTCAAAACTGATATTGATAATTGGGTTCATTTTGCGTATGCAAGGAGAGTGCACATGCTAGATTTGGATTTCTCGGGATATGATGGAGTAGGTTACTGCATTGTTTATAATTTTCCTAATGACCTTCTTGGCCTGAGTTTTGTGAATTCTTCTGCTCCACCTCTTTCGAATTCCTATGGGAATGATATCAACTCTGGTGCAACATCTTTTGGCTTCAAGTCTCTGAGGACATTGGCGTTTAATTCTGTGGGCATGTCTGGTGAAGTTCTTGAATTCTTCTTGCATAATTGTCCTTTTCTGGAGTCTTTGCGAGTGGAATTATCTGACAAATTGGAAAATTTTAGAGTTTGTGGCCCATCTCTTGCATTGAAACACCTTGAGATAATGGATTGCTTCCATTGTTCCATCACTGTTTGCAATACCAATATTGTTTCACTTAAAACCACCCAAGGTCAGGCTTTGGTGCTTCAAAATGTTCCAATGCTTGTGGATGTTGAAATTGGTGGTTTTGGGATAGATGCAGATGCAAACTTGGTTGCTCGTGCTATTTCTTGGCTTTCATGCTGCATTTCAAAATTGGAGATTCTTTCCTTAAGAATAAAGTACTCCCAGAGACACATGGTTAGTCTTTTATATTTCTCTTGTTTTTTTTTTCTTTGTATTGTATGTGAGTGAATATGAACAGATCCCCTCTGTCTCCGATTGTCATTTTTTGCTTTGTCATCCCAGGTTAAAGATTTAAATGCAGCTCTTCCTCAATTAACTCAGTTGAAGCTATTAACATTTCATGCGATTCGTGCAAGAAAGGGCACGAGCCTGATTAAATTTACTTCTCTAATAAAGGCATCTCCTAACTTGGAGAAGTTTGTGATGAAGGTACTATGTCTCTCTCAAAAAGAAATGCATCGCTTGTCCATGAGACTTATATTACGACTAAACACATTACAATGATGATACCCAACTAAGTAGATTGCCACAATTTGAGTCGAATCAATAGAATTATAATTGATACAATGTTTATAATGTCATGGATCATATGTTTAAATTATATTGTTTGCATGTCTTGAATTAGTTATGATATAGTACTTTCACCTTTTTCTTTGGGGGGGGGGGTGTTAATGCGTACTTTCACTTATTCACATGTGTTAAGACTCCCCTCGGGGCTGCTCATGTACGTGATGACAATCTTGTTCTTTTTTTTTTTTTGGTCCCATCCTTGAGACTTTGTGGTGCGACGATGACGAGCATAACGATGACGAGGGGTGCGATGATGACGGGCGTGATGATGACGAGGGGTACGATGATGACGAGCGTGACGATGACGAAGGGTACAATGATGACGAGCGTGACGATACATGCATAGAACCCTTTAAACATCTTAAAGTTGTAGAATTTTGGGGATACTGTGGAAGTAGAACAGAAATTGAATTCGTTGAGTATTTTGTAGAGAAGGGGTATAACTTGGAGAGATTAGTTATTGATTCTCGGGAATTATCGGAAAAAGGTCTTCCCGGTGATAGTTTGGAGATGGATGCAGCTCGCAAAAACCGTGCCAAAACTGCCAAGATACAACTTAATCGATTGCTGCCTCAAAGTGTTGAATTGGTGATTATTTAGTTGGTGGAGAATAATCATCATCATACCAAGAATGAAGTTTTGATATTTCTAGGAATTGAATAATAGGTCACTGATTAGGACGATATGTTTTCTGGTATTAAACTTGGATTCGATTCTCAAGAGTATGTAAGAGAGGTTTTCAGTTATATTTAAGGGGAGTCCATGTTAATATTTGTGGTATTAAGAGCATTTCCAACGAATATATTAAAACATTATATTTGGTGATTTAGTGTAAAATTTGTCTTCTAAGGAAGACACTAAATTAGTGTATTATTTTGGTGCAATTATTAAAGTTACATCAAATTTCTACCATCTGCACTATCTTTGTACACTATTTTAATCAACTTTTAATATATTTTCACTTTAGGTCATCTTGAGTAAACTTCAAAATAAGTCATCTGTCTTTAATATATTTTCGCTCTAGGTTATCAATTAAATTTATTTGTAACACAGGTTACCTTACTAAAGTTTTTTAATCTATTTTAGATTATTCTGTTAATTTTGGCCGTTAACTAATGACGGAAATTTATTTAATCCATTTCAGATTATTCTGTTAATTTTAGCCGTTAAATAATGACAGAAATCTATTTTTCACATGCTTTTGGGTGCAGTGGTATTTTTGTCATTTTATTATTTTTTTATATTTTAATCTTTTTAAGAATTTTTTTTTTACAATTCTTCTTCTTATACTTTATAACTTGTATACACTGGTAGTATAATTCTAAATTTTAAAAATTTATTTTCTTTTTGTATTTTAACTTCTAGATTATAAAAAAATTTTAAAAAAATTTAAGAAATGAAGAAGAAAAATTCAAGTTAAAGTAAACATGAAAATTAATAATTTAACATTTTAAATAAAAAAAACTAAAAGAATTAGCTAAGACAAGTTTTTTCTTCTAGGTTATTTAATTTTTTTCAACTCGATTGAATTATTTAATTATTAATTTTCACGTTTCTTATTCCTTTTTCTTTATCATCTAGAAGTTAAGATAAAAACGACAAACAAATTCATTTTTGAAAATTAATTTGTCATTTGTATATTAACTTGTAGATTATTAAAAAAAAAGAATAAGAAACATGAAAATTAATAATTAAATAATTCAATTGAGTTGGAAAAAAATTAAATAACCTAGAAGAAACAACTTGTCTTACCTAATTATTTTAATCTTTTTTTAAATGGTAAATTATTTATTTTCATGTTTACTTTAACTCGAATTCTTCTTCTTATTTCTGAATTTTTTTTTAAAAAAAAATTTATAATCTAGAAGTTAAAATACAAAAGGAAAATAAATTTTTAAAATTTAGAATTATACTACCATTATATACAAGTTAGGAAGTATAAGAAGAATAATTGTAGAAAAAAAAATTAAAAGATTAAAAAATAAAAAAATAAGAAAATGACAAAAATACCCTTGAACCTAAAAACTTGTAAAAAATGGATTTCCGTCACTATTTAACGGCCAAAATCAACAGAATAATCTAAAATGGATTAAAACTTTAGTAAGGTAACATATGTTACAAATAAATTTAATTGATGATCTAGAGTGGAAATATATTAAAGGTTGATGACTTGTTTTGAGGTTCACTCTTTTTTATTTTGATCACAAACATGATATGATATATTTTTGGGCTTAAGAAAATAAATTATATTATAAAATTGATATCATATTATAGAGTTTTTTTACTTTTCAAAATAAGACCCATATTGCCTATAATATTTATTTAAAAAAAAATTATTTTTAAGAACCAATAAAATTGAATAATAACAAAAGTTTTTTTAAAAAAATGGCTACTCTACGAACTACAACCAGAATCACAACATTATAAAAACGTGTAGTACAAATATGAATTAACATAATTCAATGAAAACATTATAAAAACTTGTAGTACAAATATAAATTAACATAATTCAATGAAAATGTAACTGTAAAAATTTTATTTTCACACCAAATTTGGTCTATCAAGATTGGAGCGCAAAAGAGTTTGATGCAAAATGATGCTGGAAAAATTTCATTTTTACACTAAATTTGGTGTAAAATATTGTGTAATAATTAGAGATGACCTAAGCACTTGTAGTATTTGGTGCAATTTTCATTGTATTTTGATGATCATTCTTTGTTGTATACAACAACAACAACAAGCTTTTTAACCACTAGGTGGGATCCGCTATATGGATCATATGTTGTCTTCGTGCTCGATCATTACGTAAAATCATCCTTCAAATTTAAATATTTCAAATTATTTTTTATAATTTTTTTTAAGTTTTCTTCGGTTTACTCCTAATCATCTTAATTTGAGTTATTCATTCTATAATTTCTTTATTGTATGAAGAATATTTATCAGTCACATCTTTGGCATAAATGCCAATGAAGAGAATATGAATTCCAATACAACATGATCTTGTTCCTCACATGAGGTTTTAAGTGTTATAAGAGATTAGATATCTTAGAAATACTCCATTTGGTACTTATAATTATTTTGATTTTGTCTTAAGTTTCACTTATGAGATCTTTTTAATGAGAAAAAAATCTTTAAAATATATTTTCGCATTAATAGTGTTCTCCTCATTATTAAGAAATGTTTTGAAGGGTTTTTACTTTAATTAAAAAGATATCTTAAGTGAAAATTATGACAAAATAAAAATACCTTATAATTTCGTCAATTCCACTCAATCCCTTAGACATGCTTTTGTTATAAACCCTAAGTTCCTGAATTCTTCCTTCAATCAATTTATAATATCAATAAAAATACGGCTGAATTTGGTATTTGTTTGATTTTTTTTTTCTCCCTTTCTCTCTTCCTTGTTATTTATGCCACTAATTTATGAAACTACCCTGTTTATCGTCATCATAGCGAAGAGGAAGAAGCCGATTTGAACAGTTACAGATGCAGAAGCTGAGTATTGCGATAATAATCTGTGCCAACTGCTTCCGGATGGGATTTTGCTGGACATTCTATCAAGACTCAGGGTCAAAACTCTGTCCAGATTCAAGTGCGTTTCCAAATCATGGAACCATTTGATATCTCACAACACTTGGTTTCACTTGTTGCATCGTGAGAAATCCCTCCTCAAAGACCAGTTTCTTTACTTTGTTCATTGGGGATTTGGGTCACTTCCCTTGATTTGGAGGACGGTACTATTCGTACGAGTGCTGCACTCCCCCTTTCTGCTCTATTGTTTGTTTCCCGCCCGTTTGTTGCAACTTGATCTGCTTCGCCACAGGCTATGAAGTTTATTTGTGTAATCCTAGCATGAAACAGGTTCAATTTCTGCCCTCATCCATTTCATTAACTGACCGCAAGACAAGCCTTGAAGACCAGGCATTGGGATTCGGATACCTAGCTTCCAAAGGAGAATATATCGTGCTCAACCTGGTTTGTAGAGTCATGATTGCAGTCAGATTTTGATCATGCAGAAGTTTTGAGCGAGATGTTCTCCTTTTGCCCCAATAAGAATGCAATTGTTTCTGGAATCCCGAATGATTCTGATGGAGTTTGGAGAGCTACAAAGCATGGCTGTCCATGGTGGATATATCCAAATTCTGGTTTGGTAGTTGGGGAAACTATGTATTGGCTAGTCGCTACATCTGTGTGTAGTCATTATGAGGAATTGTTTGTTGATTATTCCTGTCTTTTGATGTTGAAGCTGAAAAGTTTAGAATCATTTCACCTCCTCCTGGTTTGGAATCAGAACCTGAAGAGATGAATGATGCAAGGATCATCAAAGGTACCCTCTGTGTGACAGACGTAAGGAGCATGATTGAGACTTCTGTTTTGGAAATATGGGCCCTTACTGAGTCTAGAAATGAGGTTGACAATAACAGTGGCAGAGGTATTTGGGTAAAGCAGTATAACATCAGAATGGAGATTCCACTTCCAGACCCTGAAGAAGTAGGTATGCCTCTTGTCTTCCGGAAGTTGTCTAGCAAAGGAGATGTAGTGATACTTTCACTTGTTTCCGACATGTATTACATCTTCAATGTTGAGAAAGGAACCCTTGTCAGGGAAATCACTGTGGTTTCTGGCGAGAGATCGCTGACGGCATTAGGTTTTTGTTGGCAAAGCTTCTTGACCCTTTGAAAATCAAAGGAGACTATCAAACTATGCTTGGGGCTGATTGGTGTTTTGAGCTTCCTTTAGAGCAGGAATGAATCACGTTGTTGATCAAAGGTATTTAATTATGTTTCTGTCTAATGATAGGTTCTACTATGCTGGAAACTTTGACTACATGTGCAAACCAGTTAGTCTCTGATTGTTAAATACTTATGGTCGAAAATAGCTAATGTTGGAAGTGATAAGAAATGCTTATTCACGCCTTTATCTGTCTATATTTTCACTACAACTACAAACAGTACTTTCTCTGAAACTCATAACATAACAATCTACTGTCTCAATAGAGTAATATCCATACAACTCACAGTTGGAAAGAATATTATCTTGAATTATATATGTCCGATATTGCACATCCCATCACCTACTCTGTTGTCTGCTACAAGAAAGGTAAGACCTTGTTTTACCACTATTGTAGCTTGGTGAGTTGCTTTGCTCTTTTATTAATGTTAAGGATGTCTAAAATATTTTCGGACATCCATGATAAGAATGCATCAACTACCCAATAATCTGTCTCTATAATTTGGCTCAAAATGTTCAACCATCAACCAACAAGAATGATATCCCCTTAATTTCTTGTTTCCATGAAAGAGATATTTTAAGTCTTACTGTGTCATTAACAAAGCACTATGAAATGAGTTTTGTTGCCTGTCCTGTCATTACCTGATAGCCTAAAGCTCATGATATTAGGCTGTGGTTGCTGGCCAATTCAGGCACTTTGGGTCATCAACAGAGAATTAATGCATGGTTCAAAATTCTTGACTGTTAGTTTGACGGCGAAACCATGTGATCATGTTTCACCTAGGTAGGTGTCTTGTACCAATCTAGATGTGCTGTGCACAACGATAACTAGTAAGTTGTGATTCTTCGATATAAACCTATTCTTACCACTTGTTTGAAACTTAAAAGTCTTTCCGAAACCATTGAATTTCTATAGCTACACTGTTTTGTCCAAATATTGTTCATCATCCAGAAAAGAGAAACAATGGCCATATGTCTGCCTTGTCTAAGTCCATCTATGCAACTCCTGAAGCGGGCTAATTCCTTAACCTCAAGAAATGCTTGTTCATTTGATGTTCCAAAGGGATACTGGTCAGTTTATGTAGGAGAAAATGAGAAGAAAAGACACCTGATTCCGGTTGCCACCTGAACCAGCCTTCCTTACAGGAATTTTTAAGCCAAGCTGAGGAAGAATTTGGTTACAATCATCTGATGGGAGGCTTGAAGATCCCTTGCAGAGAAGACATCTGCATTGATCTAACTTATCTTTTGAGTAGGAACAAATACACCAGTAAGTATTATTAGTTTGTAGCTTAAGATTGTGAACAGAAAATTTTGT